AAATACTGCACCAGTATATATGCATTTTCCACCAAAAGGCAAACCAAAACCTGCAGATACTATGGACATTCAAAGAGTAGGATTTGCAGCAGAAGCAATTGCAAAGTGGATATCTGAACGTACTGATATTCAGGTATTTATATACAAGGTCGTTGGTAACTAGTGGTACAAGCGGAAAGGGGGTGATTCTACGTGAAAAAAGAAGTCGAAAATATAGAATAAAAATTTTTTTTTTAGTTTTTTTAAATTTTTCCATCGAGACAACGATCTACAGTGAGGTCCGTTATAACGAGACGCGATAAAGTGCACGCTTACCGAGCGAAAATTCAAAGTCGATTTTCTCGAAAACAAAGCCTTAAACGAAGAATGTTTATTCTATATTTTCGACTTCTTTCTTTGCGTAGAATCACCCCCTTTCCGTTTGTACCACCAGTTACCAACCACCCTGTATATATGTATGAGTATTTAATCAGTAAGAATCATATTAACATGTTCAAAATGTGTTATAGATTAGAGTACTTAGACCACCGAACTATTCTGGCACAGTGGCAATAATAATGTTGCTAGTACTTATTGGAGGATTTTTATACCTGAGGCGTAACAATTTAGATTTCATTTATAATAAAACAATTTGGGGTCTTGGTGCATTGGTAATAGTCATGGTATAAATATATTTATTGAAATGACAATTTATCTTCTAATGTTTTTTTAAAACAGTTCTTTACGCTTACAATGATATCTGGACAAATGTGGAATCATATTAGAGGTCCACCTTTCATACATAGATCACCCAGTGGAAACGTAGCTTACATACATGCTTCTTCTCAAGGCCAATTTATTTTAGAAACATACATTGTTATGATTTTGAGTATCCTTTTTATTAAAGTGTGTAAGTGATTCATAAAATAAATTTTAATCTAGTTTAACCCTTAGGCATTTGTTAAACAAATATAGTATTATATATGGTGTTTAATCAAGTAATACAAAAATCGAAGTTTTTACTAAATCATCAAACATTTTCTATTTTTGAAAAACTATATTAAATTTCAATAAGGTCTATTTCTTTTATTTCATAAAGGATTAATGCCAAAATTCGATAATCGTAAATATTCGACAGTGAAATGTTATGGTTTGTGTACTATACAGTTGTTATGACCTTACCATGGCTTTCTCAATGCATAGATATATAGCTAATATTTTTCTTAACAAAATGTAATAAGATGGAGCAGTGGTATTGGGTATGATATTAATGACTGAAGCCGCTTCACGTAAAGGTGATGTAAAAAAGCGACGAATATTCGCGGCAATAGGCGCTGGATTAGTCGCTATCTTCTTTAGTTTGCTGTTATCAATATTTAGGAACAAAGTACAGGGCTATCCGTACAGGTAAATAAAATATTTTTAATTTGTATTTTATTCTTAATTGATAAAATATTTCCATGTTGGTGTATATTAATATATTTATAAAAACATTAATTATTGTGATGTATGCAAAAATTCTGAATAAATATATCAATATACTCCACTTTTAATATTTTTCTAAGAATTACTATTATCTCGTATCTCAGAGAGGATTAAATTATTTGTTTCAGCTTACTGTTTAAGTGAAAGAATAAATAAATACACAAGAACTCAATATTTGTATATATTGCAAAGAAAATTTCGCACTTATTTGTCAATATTAAAAATTAGGATACAAATAATAAATAAATACTTTAGCTTTAATTATTGTTAAAGTGTTGTATTTTGATCATAATTTACATTTGTTTGTACGTAATGTAAAATAAATTAATATTTAAAATCTTATTTATTTTATTATTGTCTTAAGTCACATCAATTACACAAGATCATTAGCGGGTGGAGATATTATGAGGATATAACATGTGAGAACTATGAGAAAATAGTGATGGTGTAGACTTGCAGGTTTATGTGGACTTAGAACTACCAGAGCCACACTGAAGTAAGCATATATTGCTTAATATAATTTATTTCAAATGTTATAAAAAGATATACATTATTAACAAGATATAACTACTTCACTTCTTTCATTTAATTATAATATTGCTTCGTAAAATATAATTAAGATTTCTGTAATAACATTATATGTATAATAAATAGAATTTTGTCATACTTAAAAAATATAAGGAAGTAGAATTCTTCGCGACATTGGATAATTTTTAAATGTTTGTATATACCATTTGTGAGTCAGTACAGCAGTAACAGTCTAAAATAAAAGAAAGAAATTATTAATTCAAAGTTACATACATACTTTAAAAATGTTATATAATATTTTTACCTGATTAATTATTACCCAAAGTGTAATATAATGAAAATTAGTACTTTGCCATAAGATAATAGAAAGTAGTATATAAATAATTATCTCTGTAAATTGCAATGAGCCTGATATATACTCAAACAGACCACCATGTGGTATTTTATATGCTGTGGAAGTAATCTTTCTATCTTTATTATATCGTAAGTTACTAAGAATAAAATTTGTCCTGAGTTGTACATATGATGATAGTACACAAATAATAGCACATATTAATTGTAAATATGTAATTCTTCTCCAGGAAAAGTTTCCTTCTGAACCTATATGAGGAACATGCAGCTTCAAAAAAAATTGGCTTCAATTGATTAAAAACAAATTTTAATCTGATATTTATAAGTGTTTAATTACCTTCAACAAAACCATCAGATTCACCTATGATACATACCAAAGATCCTATGTAATGTATGTATCCCATTAAATAATGGCTAATATTCATCATATTATCACTAAAGATACTTACAAAATGTGTTTCATAAAATCGTTTCCAGCAGTGTAAAGTTAAAACCAGAGTTGCTATAAATGTACTTTCTGGTGATACTGCAAAACATTTGTTAAATGAAATGCTTACTAATAAAAGATATTTTTTATTAGTCTTTTACGCCTAATTTTTGCGCCTAATAATCTACGCTTAAATGCTCCGTCGTCATTCACATATCGATACACGTATTTCTTTTAATCAAGTCAATTCTCGAATTTATTTCTCTTTCAATTTTCGGCGATCTATTTTCGAGCACTTATCCAGAGTTTAATAAGTAAATTTAAAATTCAATAGCATCTAAGTATTTACCTAGTACTTGTCTGAATGATCCCAAACATATATCTAATATCCATATAACATTTTTGGAACTATTACCCGTCCATAAAAATTTACAAATTATCAAATATAAGACATAACTTGAAAGAGGTGCAGCCAAAACATAAAAATGTCTAAACCATCTAAAATGTTATAAATGATTACTTTTCTAAAAATATTGTAATAAACTAATAATATATTGATGAATTTGTTGAAAAGCTACTTTCTCAGTTGATGAGATTTGAATGGAACTTTTTCTAATCACTTTGTTGTGACGTACATATAAGAAGAAAAATAATATGTGAATGCATCCGTATATTAATATTGTTCATGAATATGCTAACAATATTTCTTTCTTAATTAAATTATCGACTGTTAAATATCATAAATGTATATAATGTGCTTAATCTAACTGACGCCTATTAATATCAACAGTACTTTATTTTTTCTTAAAATCAGTAGGGTTCATCCAATCTTTTTTATTATTTCTCTTGTTATATGTACGTCACAACAAAATGATTAAAATGTGTCCCGTTCAAATTCATGGGTTCTTCAGAAAATTGGCCAGTATATTAAATAATTAATGTATTATATTATTATTACTCACCTTTTAGGTACTTCTGCATTTTTAATTATTGATTGATAATTAATGGAGTATTTACCGTAACGAAAAGAACGAGTTATCAAAATGGGCAGGTAGGCTTCCATAGAAATGAGTAATAGTCCAAGAATACCCGTAAATAACGAAGCAAAAATAAATATAATACGTATAATATTTATTTGCATTTTATTTTAATTCTTACTGACAAAGTAAATGTAACACTGTATTCTGATACGTCTGCTACTACTTATTTGTTCCACTAAACCCACTTTCGTACAAGTTAATATACTGGAACAAAGTACATATGTATATTTATGTATATAAGTATGATGGCAACTATATACATATGTATTATTGTTATCTAATCAATATTTCATAGCTATGCACTGTAATGGAACTGTTTGAATAATTATTGTATGTACAAGGAGTATAGTTGAGGAGCACTTATTGGCTCCTCATTTTCATTAATCTCACAAAAAATTGTTTAAAACAATCAGTGGATCAGTGGATAAAAGGATCAGTGTCGATTTGGTTACAAACTACAATAAAAAAATTTGCTTGATTTTTGCAAATGGCACTATATATTCTTCACTTGATAGAGTTATAGCTGACTCCAAAATGAATTCAATGATTCTACTAAACTATGATTTTCACATTATTTTGAGTTCAGAAATTTTGACTTCTATGGTTAGAAACATCAATGTGGAAAATTATTTTATTTATTTATTTATTGGAAGTGTTACATATTACTTACTATGCTTGATTCTGACCCGTATCTTAATTATACGGCAGACATATGGATGAAAAATAATACCTGCCACATTTGCAGGCCACACGATAATCCTTGCCTCGCACAACAACGCCACCGAAGATTCAGAAACTACAGAAAACGCGTAGACAACATAGCCATCCGACTTAATCATAAGAACTGATCCTGTACTTAAAGGGTTATGCATTTAATTCAGAAGTAACTTAATTACCCGTGTTCGCGAAAACATGTGGGTATGGCAATAGTATAACATATACGCTTGCAGTGTTGTTAGAATTAGCCGAGAAGGCAGAGCGATTTAGAATGTCGACGAAGGAGTTTAAATTTGATGTCACATAAAGAGAATACAGTCCCTGAAAAAACGAGCCTCACGTTTTCACCCTCGGATAAAAAAAAAGGCAGATGTACTAACTAGTCGAAACTCTAAACTCAGCATGGAAAATAAATTAAGAATTTACAGAACAATAATAAAACCAATTTGGACGTACGGAATACCACTAACAGGGACAGCAGTAATGAGCCACATAAATAAACTAGGGTCGCTGTAATGGTCAATGTCCCATGGTATGTCAGAAAGAAAGATATACGCAAAGACCTAAAAATACCAACAAATAAAGACAGCAAATTCCTAAGAGGAATTGATTGTAAATACTTTAAGATAAGATAAAAATAGTATTATCTAAAGTTAGTGTTCTACTTGTCCATTATAGCATACTGTGCAAAACGGCATATTATTGTTGAATTTATTTACTACATAATTTCATTTGTTTCATAAAATAATTTTTCAATAGGGACTAATCAATAATTTATAGGGACTAATTTAATAGGGATAAAGAAACTATACGTGATCGTAAGCATTCAGGCCGCTCATCATTACACAGGAGCTCAAGAAAGTATCTGCGATTTCATTCCAGTTTTTTGCAAAACTTATTAGTCAATAATGCTTCACAAGACAAGATGATTTAAAGGATTGCGTATATCGATGATTATGGGAACTAGCGGCGGAAGCATCTGACGAAGATATACAAAAACTCGTATAATGTTACGATAAATGTACAGTGGTATATATACTAAAGTTACGAATCAAAAAATCTTTTTAAAATGCATTTTTATTGTTGTTATTTCAAAGGAGGTATTACTTTTTGGTACTCGTACATAATACCATTTGCAAAAGTCAAGGTAACCTTGACGTTTTATTGAAACAGCAATCCTTTTCGTAAAGTTATTGGAAATGCCATAAAAATGATGGATACTCTAAGACTATACATATAATTATAATTATATACATATAATTATAGACTCGACTTCAGATACTTCCGAGACATTTGTAAAAAACTGCAGGTACCACTGTAGTGTATTTCTGCATATAATTGTGCGTAATTTGACCGCATACGTCAGTTTGGTTGCCGCTTATCTTCTGTTTGTAACTGTGAGTCGGACGAATATAAAGGATCCGTGCACAATGTATACATCCGAAGATGCAACAAATATCTATTATATTTATTTATTATTTATTATTACTTAGTCCGTGACTTTCGGCTCTGGACGAACTTTCGGTTTTACATCTCGTATCTATTTCGCTTCTCATATATCTACCTCCCCTCTTATCCACTCTATTATATTGCACTCCCCTAATTATTTTGTCTCTAAAACTATGGCAACTTTTGGGCTTTTGCCTCCTTGCTGTGCTTCCGTATTGTCGTTCCTCCTCGTCTTGTATTGCCCTTCTCTTCTCCATTATTGTTTTTAGTTCTGTTAGTCCTTCTCCAGTCTCGTTTAGTATTTTTTCTGTGTCTTTTGGTCCTCCCGTTATTTCGCATTCTTCTATTACATGTCTCAGGTCTTCTTCTTTCCTTTTACATAGCCTGAATCTTTTTTCTCCTTCTTCTTTCCAGTATCCCCTTGCTTTGGTCTCGTTTCTACATCTAAATCTTGCTAATATTTTTCTGTCCTTCCACTTCATCCTTCCTTTAAGTATTTTGGTAACTCTTCTTTGGCAATTTTTCTATGATGTATGTTATATTTGAATTCCCTTATCCTTTTCCCCCTCTCTTCTGCTTCTCTCTTTCTTTTTTCTTCTATAATTTGGTCTACTGTCATCTTTTCTTGCTATTTTCTTGCTTCCATCTGAGTTCCTCCATTTCTTACCTCTTCTAGTCCCTTCTTTCTCTTTCTTGCTCTTTTCCCTTCTTGGCCATTTCTCCAGTTTTTCTCTCTTTCCTTTATGCACTCCCTTACTAGCTCCTTTTTTGACTTTATGGCTTTCCCTTCATACCTTGCTGCTCTTCTTAATGCTTTTTCTTTGATTTCTGTTAGCTTGCATTCTTCTATCAATATATAATTTGGTGTTGTCATATCTAAACCTAAGATCCATTTCACATATTTTCTTTGTATTCTATCCAGTCTTTCTACCATGTTCCAGCCCCATACCTCTGCTCCAAACAGCGCCACGCTGTCTACCAGTACTCCAAACATCTTCATTCTCCTCTTGTAGTTCTGTTTGAAAATTCTTTTTCCCATGCTCCATGTTTTCTTCATTGCTATTGTTGCTCTCTTTTTCCTGTCTTGTATGTGTTTCTCATCACTGCCGTTTTTCTGTAGTATGTACCCTAGGTATCTTATCTCGTCCACTTCTTCTAATTCTCGCTCTCCCCATTTTCATTTTCTTTGTCTCCTCTTGTTCTTTTTTTTTTTTGAAAACTACTATCTTGGTCTTTTCGCTGTTCAGTTCTAATTCGGTTTCCTTTAAAAATTTTTTAAATCACTCTCACAAAATCGAATATAATACCGCGTTTCGCGTATTCGTTTCTCACTAATTCTACGACACAACAACACGGCCCCGATAAATTCAACTCTGACAGCATTTTCCACGCTCATTTTTCCCTTAACATACCTTGGTAACGCTCACACCACTCCTTGACAAGATTAACATATTTTGACAACGTTTATAAACAATTACCCCTCACGCCACGTCCTTCCCTGACGTCACACCATCCCACATATCCTTTAGCTGCTCTTCTCTATCCGTCATCAGCACAATATCGTCTGCATATATCAATTGACCATACCTTTCTTTCTCCTACCACTATGCCGCCAGCTTGTCGTTTCCTTAATTCTTCTCAAATGTCTATTATAATTCACTTAAAGATGAAAATCATCAATGTGTTGGGTTTGGGGTAGATCTTTAAATCTATCATATAATATCATTTTATGCCGTTTGCATATAATAATAACAAATTAATTATAAAAATAATAGGCAAATGAATAATTGATATTATTTTACGAGATAAAGTAATCATTATTATTTTGTCCGTTTTGAGATATTGATAAGTATTGTCGGACGCCACGAGGCGGTCGGATTGGAAAATTTATCCTAATCATAAAATTAATACATTGATTATATTCTTTTTTAATTGAATTTAATTGAAACAGACATTTCTTGCAGCCTCTCATATACATTGTGCACAGGATTTTTACGCTCGTCCAAACAGAACATCTCGGTTACAAACAGAAGATAAACGGCCGGCGACCAAACTGGCGTATATAATACCACGGGCGGATAGCCATAGGCAGAAATATACTGTAGTGATATCAACAGTTTTTTACGAATGCTTGGAAATTAAACGGGACTGGTGGTTATGTGCATAAGGGAAAATTCACAAGGTTGATTTCTATAACATATTCAAAAATTATCGACGTCGGGAAGGACGGAACAGTCCTATAAGGTCACTAAATTTTTAATTAATTGGTATATTTAAAGGTATATGTCCGCTACTGTATGTACATATCTAAAATACATTGTTATATGTTTCTGAGATCTCGAGGAAAAATATTTTAAGTATAATACATATATATGTGAATTAGAAGTTTTATTTCAATTAAATATTTGTAGACAAATAGAATTAATTTGATCACATTACAGGACGGATTACAGTTCCTTACAAAACACGCATAATTACATCTTACACGCACATACATACATCTAAAGTGAATTAAAGATTGTATTCAATATTTATAAAAAGGCAACAGATTTTTACATTAAAATAAATATATTTCTTTTTAGCACAACTTTAAGACATTCAATCGAATCAAGTGCGTACTTTTCGATAAAAATGCACATTTATATGATTCTGAATGAATGCGTTTCGGATTTAAACTTTACTTTAGGAAACAAAATTATAGTCTTCTTTTTTGTGTCATTTATTAGTTTTCGACCTTTAACTTCAGGAATGTAGCGGTTCAAAAATTGAGCGTTTTTAGTGTAATTTACACTCTGAGTTACTTTGACATTTTGTCTTCTATTTGACAATGAGTTCAATGAGTGGAATCGTTGGTTGTATAAAAATGCACCTGAATGTGTTATATTACTCAAATTTCAGGTTAAATGATACGCATTTGTGCCAAATCGAAGTTTTAAAGAATGAATGATTGAATTAAATGAATGAAAGAATAAATGAATTTTTACTTGTTATATTAACATAAGGATGGAAATTTCTAGTAAATTTCTTAAAAATGGCTCTAATTTTAGACAAGGAAAAAAACCAATGTCACAAACATTTTTAAATTATATTGATATTTTAAATTTATCATACACATGAACTTCTATCCTGAAAATTAAACAATCATTTTCCAAAAAATCAGATAAATCTCGTATTCGCACAAATTCTGTATAACCAAAACTGCGCTTATTGAGTTCACATATTGGTTTTCTAAATGCTTCAAGATCTGGTCTTGATGAAGTTATTTCTCGTATATCTTTCTCCCGATTATCTGGGTGAACCAAAACAAAATACATTGTTCCATTGAATGGCCAATCTAGACCATCATCATTTTCTGACTTCATTATATGCAGAAGGAGTGACAGAGATTCAGGATCTTTAGAAGATATATTAATTCTAGCACAAATCTTGTAACCATTAGGGCTCGTATAAAAGCCAGGACTATAAAACATTTTTAACGAATCATTCATCATGGTTTCAAGTTTCTCATGAAAACAATGTAATCTCCAAATATAAACTCCATTACAACTACGTAAAGACATTTCTTCCTGGCTAAATCGTAAAGAAGTTTGCAAAGTTGTGAGTTGAGTTTTGTAATTAGAAATGCTTATAGATAGTTCCTTGTTTTCTTGTTCCAGCACCACTATCCTTTCATATAGATTCCTAACAGAGGATAATATATTTAATTACAATAAAGTATTTAACATGCCCTATAGAAAGTTTTTATACAATAGCATGCAAAAAGAATTTACTTTAATAAGTGTTGCCATTCTAATGGTGGTTCGTTTTTTTCTATAGAAGTTGTATTTTTTGGTGGAGGATCCCATAATTTAGATTCTGCAGCTATATTATCAACGTTATTTTTTGAAACAGATAGTTGTGTTAATATGTTCAGGATCATCTATGAAATAGATGGAAAGTCATTTCTATATTGTAACAAAATATGATTGTATCAAATAAAATAAACTAACAATTAAATGGATATTTATATTTCCTTCTAAATGTGCATGTAAATCCTCTTCAGTATGAAAAGTTTTCATGCAACCAACATTCTTAAAGGAACAATAGACAGTTTGTGAATCTGCCAGACTTCTTTTATATGAGCATCCATTTATATGTGCTTCTATATCCATTGGGGACATTTTAATTTCACAGCCAAATTGTTGGTAGAGACAAGGTATTCGTTGTTGTGATATCTCTCTGCTTGTATATAAATCTCTGAATAAATCATTTTCAGATTTTAAACTTTTGCTATCAACTGGACAACAAGCACCTTCTTTTCTAAAATATAAAAATCGGGTTCACAAATGTAAAATATAAATATAACATGTTATATGTATATATACATATTTAAGCATGTTACTTTAATATAGCTTAATATAGAAATATAACTTACTGAAGCCAAGTGTATATACATTGCGAACAGAATTTATGACCACAAGATGTTAAAACTGGATCACGCAGCCAAGTTAAACAAATAGGACACTCGAATCTAGGTTCAAGGTATTCTTTCAAAGCATCACCACACTTCATATAATAGTTCAGTTACCAGAATAAATGAAACATAATAGGAGTGTTAACACAAAATGGAAAGCAAAGCCTTTTGAGATGTACATTGTAATAGCAATGCAACAAAATCAGTTTTTTACAGTTTTTAACAACAAAGAAAATGAAATGAAATAAATATTACTAATATCTATAAGTTTAAATACAATAAATATAAATGCACATACGTACGACAATATTTTCTTCAGCTATCTTAACATGATCTTTAAAATTGTCCGACTTGGCCATTTTATCTGTAAGAACTTATAATTTACTATATACACAATAATTATAATCTGCAATATGATACAATTCTATCAGCATAAAAATATATCAACAAATACGTTATTACTTGCAATTATTAAATTGTAAAAGCAATATAATTTATTTGCAACTATGAATAGTGAAGTTTATACAAGGTATTTCAATTAAATTAAATATCCTAATTATTCTTTCTGCTATTAAAGGTAACAAAAAATTTGCTAAAAACTTAAATGTTTTAAGGCGTGTGTTTGATAATATTTGCTTCTTTATAATGCAATGTTATTAGTTAATAACAAGACAAATTCAATAAATGATTATATCATAATATTGAAGTGTTCTTGTATAAGTAAAACGAATTTAAATTGATACCATATAAAAATAGTAAATTAGCATATTTTGTTACATGTTTGACAGATCAATAAATTTCTACAGAAAGCCATGTATTACCATTAATTAATATTATATTTGTTTTTTCTCCTTTGTTAGCAAATATATAACAACACATTTCGTTATTAGTAAATAATCTTTAAAATGATTTTAGGGACATGTTTTTATCATGATCAAGATAATAATACATTGCATCTTATAATGAAAAATGTTCAATCTTTAATTTTGTTATGTATTTTTACATTTACATGTGAGATAGTAATTGTTCTTTATGTGATAAAGAATAAACTATTCCACATTTAAAATTGTATTAGGAGATAATTTATCTTTTTTTTCTTTAATTTTTTTCTTTAATTTGCGATATTTGGCTAGTAATATTGGTTTAATTCTGAGTGTCCAAATGCGTGCTTTAAATCTATTTAAATTGCTCTTAATCATCTTTTTTCATCTTTAATAGCAACAGAAATAGTTTAAATATCCGATTCAAATGAGGTACTCTGTATGAAACAATTGCATTGTTATGTATATGTATGTATAATAATTTCTATGTACACATATTTTGAGATATAACATTATGAAGATACCTACAACTATTGTAAACGATGATATATTTTCTTCTCTCTTTATAATACAATTTTTTCAAAAATATTTAAGAGTTTGTAGGATTTGTAGCCATTTTTAATTAAATTATGAGTCACTTTTTATAACAAGAGCATGAGAAAAACACTTCGATTATATAAATACGTATCATTAGAAAGAAAATGGGTGTACTCACTCCTATGATTCTGGTTGTTTCTGGGCTAGTGCTGCACCATACGGTCAAGTGCTAAAGGTGGCACATGCAAGCATATACAAGAACCTATAAAAGTATGAACCTGTCCTGTTGAGTTGCATGCTAGCATAGACAAGAACCCATTGAGTTCTACGCTACAAGAACGTATTTTAATTTTACGGTGTATGGAAAAGTTTATATCTGCTTTTCTGTCCGAGATAGGCAAGTGTGAGAATAACAAAATCATATGATAATTAAACTAATTGTAAGTTGCCTAAGAAAGAGGAATTAATTGTTTATTATATTTTTTTTAGGGAAGAAAAGAGAATATTCTCTTTCAAACGATAATGGATTTATGTAGCGATGCAATAATTTTAATACATTTTCCATACATCATTTAGATTTAACATCAACTCTTGGCACTCTGCATGTTAATCGTACTGGCATGAATATTTTTTTATCGCCGCATGGAACTATTATATTATCTTTTCTTTAGTAAGTACGATCGTGTTTGTTGAGACGAATTTAACGACCTTGCGTATGAGGTCATTTACTGTTGTAAAATGTTATAAATTCGTAAATTCCTAAACAATCAAGTGAGTCAAAGTCGCTAGCTAGTAGCTATTAGCTTCCTGTAAATGCTGTACACAAATATTGAATTTCTTATCTACCATAATGCTTCTCAAATTGCCAAACATTACTGAATCGTAGAAACTCATTTTAGTTGATATATCTTAGTTGACGTGTTTGAATAGTGAACATGTGTATGATAGTTTCATTTTATTTTGTTTGGTGTTTTGACTTTTTGACTAAATTTCGTTTCTGGGCACCAATCTTTTTTAACTTGTTTTGCATCTTTTGATAGTATTCGATAAACAGAGACTATGACATATCACATGTCACACCACACGTGTAACATCACATCCGAAATATAACAGTTTTTAATGTATTTTAGGGACAAAATTCAAATCCATACAGATAAAAGTCTAATACACATTAAGAATTGTCAGCAGATGTGCATTCACAGTCAATCTATATATGTTGGTCCCGTTGTATGATGAGATTTATGACCCAGTATTTGCTATTGTTGCAAGGAAAGACGAAAGTAGAAAATTTGAAAATACATGCTGTTTGTCGAAATGTCGTTGTCACGTCCCTGCTTCACACGAGCCGTAACGTGAGACAAAAAAGGAATCCGTCATCACTCGCGAATAGTGCAAGCTACAACTTTAGGCAAATAGAATTAGGAACAGAAAGCTTAAGGGAAACAAAGGATATGACGCGTTTTTTTAATATCGCAATAAATTAACGAACAAATACACAATAACATTATTCAACAAAATTAAGAACTGACCATCGCCTTGAACGCCCTCTCCCCATCACAATACCGAGTACGATTAGCAGACAGCGAGAGTTGAGAGACCACGATCGTCTCACGCAGTATTAGTGGAGACAAGCAATTATCACGCGCTAAAGGATCAAGTATCGGCATCAGCAAAGGTAACCAAGTGTCAAGGAAAGTACAACTTATCATCAACAGAAGTTAATACTGCAAGAAGAATGCAGCAGCAAGGGTTTCTAAAAGGGAAAATCCCAACAATGCGTCCACGAAAACCATATCAGCGGAGAGAAGAAACTCTAATACTTTCAGAATGACACCAACAGAAACGAAGACTGCAAAGGTAACTACGTGCCAAAACTCCGCGTTATCATGGGAACAAACTATCACGTGATAATTATCCCATGATAGTTTTAGTATAAATAATCGTAGCCACTTAGAGTTTAGAAGTCAGTTCAGTTTAGTTTAGCTTTTAGTTTAAGTCAGTCAGTCAGTTTAATCAGCTTGCAGCGGAGTTAAGATTTTGGTTCAGTAAAGATTCGGTCAGTTCAGTCAGTCAGTTTTCAATTGAGATTCAGTCGCTTTTAGTTCAGTAAAAATTTGGTCAAGAGTTAACAGTTTAGTCGAGCAAAGGATTTAGTAGAGTAGAGAATTGGTCGAGAGTCAATTGTCAACGAATTATACGGTCAGTCTTTGAACAATTATATCATTTAGTGCGATTTTTCCAAAGTGCAATCGACGATACATATAAGCAAGGTGAGAGTCTCAGACATTGTAACATTCTCTTCTTCAATTATTTCGGACTTGTACTATTCGACAGATGTACAATTCGAATGAAATTATTCATTGACCATTATCATCAACAATTAAGAATTATTATTATACATTTAAGCAGACCCTCTTTAAAAACATTAAACATTTAAAATGACCGTTCGCTGTACTAAATTGTGATCTCGTTGCGAATGAAAGAATCGCTCAGATTACGGTGCCTTCAATGACTGAAGACACCGTAGTGTCTTGTACTGCTGTTAGTAGAAATATCTACTCATCTTTGGGCAAGACTTGCGAAACCACATAAGTTATCCACAGAAAGTTTACGTTTTAAATTCAAGATATTAAGAGTAAACCGTTATTCGCTATTGTAATCACTGATCCGTCACGACCGAAAGAATCGCGTGGATTACAATAATTGAAGATGCTTACGGGTTTTCAAATTTCTCTTCCCACTGTTAGCAGAAATATCTGTTCATCTTTGAGCAAGATTTGTGAAGCCACACTGGTTTCCACGAAGCGTATTATTGTTACAAATAATCTTTGTCCATGTTAAATGTCAGGGACAAGAAGGAATCATAGAAGCAAAGACCATAACGGTAAGAAACGTGTAGAATGTTGGTTTAAACATTAATTAGCCACCGAAATTAAAAGTGAAGAAGAGAAAGTTTGAAAGGAATCAGGATTAATCATAGAACAAAAAGAAATCTATTTTTCTTCGTTAATCTAAAGCTCCATCGCCAGTAGTTAAGATAATAACTATTATCCCCGTTTCATAACTTGCATAAAGAATTAATAATAGATCCTTGTTACTAAACTTATAACTAAATAACTCAAATAAATCACCAGTTAAGAGGATATCGAAAAGATTTATTTATTCCAAGAAAACTTTAATCCTTCCCTTGCTAGTACTCCCGCACATAGCGCATTAGCAAAAACGTAGAGTTTATTTACCAGTCGTATTGATAGGCTAATTAACGCTACTCATACGGTTATACTAATGAATTAGAACATCAAGGATACAACAGTTTGGGAATTCAAAATAGCCCCGCGCTTTCGAACGGAGTGATAAGTTTTTGAATCCATTCGGTTGTTGCGGAAGTAATTAGAGCATAACCTTCTAGAATATTTGGAATAGTGCGCGTTTTAGAAGGCTGCGACAAGTTTCTGAATTTATCCCTCACTCAGTAATGCGAAGGTGTTAAGAGAATGACCTATTGGGATTATCAAAACAGATTTTTTTTTTATTATTTGATTTGTATTTTACAATTTGTCCAGCTGGACATTCGGTAAATTTAGCTTAATTGCTAAATAACATGTGGATGGCTACCGCCAGCGGGATACCATCTTTGAGTTTGATTATTTTATTTCTTTAGTGAGATCAGTGGGGTGTTTAGTGGGGATCGGTGGGGATAAACACTAATCATAGAAACATCAATACCTTTGGTAGCCGAAGTTATGCACAAGTAACTATCCAGACACCACCCTTAAACAATCGAAACCAAAACAACAATAATAACGACGCTACAGAAATCAAGAAACTGTTCAAGTAACCCATCAAAAGCACTAAAATGCTAACAAAAAAGATAAGTGAGTTCAGATAATAAACACAACAAATTACAGTCATACTACAACTACTTACAAACACGTTAAGTAAAAAATAGAAATGAGCACGCTGAAAATATCTTGGAACTCCAATGGTCTACAACAACGGACCCTCGAAACTAAAACATTTCTGTATAACAATAATATTGATATATTACTTGTTTCAGAAACACATTTCACACCAAAAAGCTACATGAAAATACCCTATTACACCATCTATGATACCCAACACCCCTCAGGAAAAGCACACGGAGGGGTCGCAGTGATAATAAGAAACGATATCAAACACCACTTACATCAGTCAATCAAATTAGTCAGGAACACGTTCAAGCAACCACCATTACAATACAAACTAACGGCAATTACTTCCAGATGTCAGCGGTATATGCACCATCGCGACACAAAATGACATTACAAAAATGGGAACAGTATTTTCAATCTTTAGGTGACAAATACATCGCAGCGGGAGACTTCAATGCAAAGCATACGCTATGGGGCTCAAGCATTAATACACCTCGAGGTAGAACACTAGAAAGATATATTAGAACTAGTAATCTCAACATATTATCCACAGGAAGACCAACAAACTGGCCGACAGATCTAAACAAAACTCCTGACTTGCTTGATTTTGCAGTTATAAAGGGACTAAAAGCAAATAGATTAAAAATTACACCCAGTCTTAGAGCTTAGCTCCGATGATACATAATAATAGAATAAACAAGCAAACCAATACTTTATAGCAAACCAGAGTCGCTTTGCAATAAAACCACCAAATGGCAAACATTTAAAGAACTAATCGAGAGCAAAATCAACTGCAATATTCCACTAAAAACACCTGAACACATTGAACAAGCGGTAACAAAATTGACCGAAATTATACAAGAAGCAGCATGGGCAACTACTATTTATGAACCAAATAACAGGCAAACAAAAATAATTCCAGAAGACATCCTTGAAAAAATCTGAGAATAAAGGAAAGTGAAAGCAAAATGGCAAAAACATTGAACACATGAAAACGAAAAACATCCGAATAAACTTTTAAAGGAAATAGAAAGTGAAATAAAAGATCATAATGGTAACGAATTTTTAAAATTCATAGAGACACTGTCTGTGCACGAGAATGCCAACTACTCTCTATGGAAAGTCACGAACAAAATAAAGAAACCAATAAAACTAAATCCAGCAATCAGAAAAACAGACAACACATGGGCCAGAAGCAGCGAAAAGCAAGGTGAAGAATTTTCCAACCACCTTTGTGACACATTTACCCCATATAATATTAACAACAGCAAATCCAA